CAGTCTAAGTAACTATTGTTGTGATGTTATAAAAAAATTTTTTTAATTGAAAATGTAATTCATTTATTGCTGGCCATGTCCATCTCTTTACTTCCATCTATACAGTGAAGAGTTGTCCAACTGGGCACAAGTAAAGTATAACCAGTGAAGTGGCCGGTGAGTGTAGTTGCCAATTTTTGGTCAACTGACTAACTGTGAAATAAACCGGCTGTTTAAGGTTTTCATGTCTCATTGAAGTCACTGTTGTTTCTTCTTCTTCTGTGGAGAAATGTCACATATATCTCGAAACAAATACGATATAGAACCCTAAGCACATAATGGCAAAGGTGAAACGTAATAAATACCTGCTTTGATTTGAATGCATTTACTATTTAAGAAGTTCTGTCAATCTAAAAACGTTTTCCATGATATCAACAATTTCAGGGATGAAGACGCGCTGTTGACTCCATAGATGACACCACTGACGTAAAGGACAGAAGTCTGATGGCAGGCACCTGCTGTGCCCTTTTTAATAATCACAAAGTGATGCCAACAGTGACACACACACACACACAGACACACACACACACCCCAATAAACATGAGCATGAGTCTGATCTGGGCAGGCCCCAGCTATCTTTGGCATCTCCTCTATTTTGGTGGTTGCTGTGCCAGTCTGCTCAGGCAGTGATGTCAGCTGATACAAATTGACACCACTACCAGCTGTTGCCCTGCCTTAATCATGTTAGGATATGTGGCGATTTTTTTTTACAATGCAAGTTGAGCATTGAGCTTTATGTGCATAATTTAAAGCAGCTCGTTTGCACTTACTGTAACCGATCTAATGCGAAGAAGCAGACAGCAAATCTTTCACTAAAACATTTACTCAAATATTGCCTTACATGTCATGAACATTAACAAATTAATGTGTTCATGTGCTAAACCCACATTTAATTGATACAGAACTGAAAAGCAGATTGTCCTTCCAAACTCTGTCTTCTTTCTCGTAATTTCCAATTTTGAATAATTAAATTCAAATTAGATTCAAGGCTCAATGAGAACTTCTTTCTTATTTGAAAACAGAACAACAACACATATTCATTATCGACCACAATAATAAGATCATGCAAGACGTGCGATATCGGTGCCATGAACTACTAAATGCTGTCTACTACAGAACTATTCAGGTAACTGCTGCAGTTACTACAGACAGCTAGCACAGTCACTACTGCCTGTTATATGGAAATGTAGTGGCACCTACAGGACATTAGCAGACCTATATAGGTCTGCTTTTTATATAGGTAAAGCAGACCTAAATTTTAAATTCTGAGGTATGTGTTTAGATCCCAATGAGAGGGTCCTCATAAATAAAGCTCAATAACTACCTTAGCTTTAGCTCGTCTGGCTTACTGTGCTCCATTTAGTTACTGGTCTACGTTACCATCTTTATAGTTTTTGTAAATGCTGTCCTCTAATTGTGCCCTCAGTGCCTTTCTCAATAGTACTTTTTGTTAAGAAGACTCCTCTGCTGCCATCTACTGGTATAAAAAAAGATGTTGCAGGCATCATGAGCAACCCACATCACCCTCTGCATGAGTCTGTGAGTGCGCTGAGCGGTCAGAGTCTGAGACACCCTCGCTTCAGGAAGGAGCACTCTTGCAGATTGTTCATCCCGACAGCAGGTAGAGTCTATAACTCCTCAACAATGATGTCATGAGTCACTTGGGCACTGTGGACATCCAGTGGACTTCCACGGTCACCACTTCATGCATAATGCACCATATATATGTATGGACATGTGCATGTGCATGTGTATGTATATACAGTATAGATAGATAGATAGATAGATAGATAGATATGTTTAGTGTGTACATGTGTGTATGCATGTACATATCTATACTTAAAGATACTTACTTACATAGTAATAGTAGTAGTAGAATAGTTCAATTTAAATCTTATCTTATCTTATAACAGAATAGTTATCAGAAATAGACAATCAGTAAGAAATAAGCAAATCACAAACCCCACAATCCACCTTTTATGGAAATTTATAAGAGAGACCCTGATAACTCCCTGATTCATAAGCAACATGCTGAGAGACGTATTAGGGGAGCTGAAGGGGAAGCGTGTGCGGCAGGAGTCACAGATGTGTTCAAGGTGGGGATGGGATTACATCATATCAGCCCTCCCTTGTGTGCAATGGTGACTCCTGCATGACCTCATCTGGTCAGGCAGAATAAGAAATGAATAACATAATATATATAATAATAATAATAATAATAATAATAATAATAATAATAATAATAATAATAATAATGTTTGGGATGTGTCCTATTTGGTTCAGCATCAAGGATCATCTAATCTGTGGTAAACATTACATTTTTAATATATCATGTCAATCAAATGCAATTTTTAAAAATCCAATAAAATATCAAATTAATTCAAAACTAAGATACGTACTTATTTTAAATTCATAGTTTTCCTGAAATATTTTCTTCAATTTATAAAATTTGTATCACATGTTTACTATGTGCTAAACCTGATAGTTTCCTTAATAATATGAGTATTTATCATATCTATGCATATGTGCAGATATTTTAACTGTGGATTATCCAGCAAGTAAATGTCATTGTAGAAAAGTACAATGTTTTGAAGTGAATTTAAAAATCACTATAACAAATGAGCCTGCAGATTTTGGCCTCACTTAAATTTTGTCCAGGAGATGGCAGTCTGTAGATACTTCATGCATGGCAAATGCAGTATCCAGAGACGGCATTGTGGATAGGCCTGGACAGTAAGAATAGAAAGCACAAAGTTATGTGAGTCATTGGGTTAAATGCTGTTGTTTTCTGCGAGAGTATGTGGTTTGTAGATGGGCTGGTCAGTGCATCAGTCCTTAGAGAGGTTCTAGGAAGTAAAATACAACATCAGCTTATGCTGTCGTACAGTAGTGACGTACAGCAAAGCCGAGATCAAGTTTTCAAAGAAAAACAAGGGTCATGCAGATGTGAAACATGATGGGATCAGATGGAACAAAATGTGATTTTTTCGTTTCCTCCCCTCATTGTGTGGACCTTTTCCACACCACAATTTTGGGCAGCCATCCAACAAAACAATTAGCAAGTATGGGAATCCCAGCCCTGCTCTCATACAGTTCCCTCCCTCTCTCTCTCCTCTATCTCTCCTCCTCTCCTGCTTTCTCCCTGCAGCTGGAGCCAGGAGAGAGGCAGCCAAGTTTATTTTCTCCTTGGTGGTCCCTTTGGGGTGGTGGCGAGGCCCCCGCCGTACTCCTGCTGATGTATTAGGTGAGGGTCCTTTAAGAGATGTCGGTGGGACTCTTTTATTACTGCTGCACTTAATCTTATTGTTCATGTTAAAGGATACTTGTTACTATTCTTATTTTTCTTCTTCATCTTCTTTTATTTATGTAACAACTGTGTGTGATTAATCTCACCTACATCCCTGCTGCTAGTTTGAAATGGGAAGTCCTAATCATTAAAGACGATAGTGTAAAAATCAAGGAAACTGAGAATACACCCAGGGGTTAATGGAAGCTTCAGTTGGCAATATTTTATAAAATTATTATTTTCCAAATTCACTCATAAAAAAGATGAGCAAAATACAAAAAAAATGACTGACTGGATTGACTTTATGTTTTTTGCCTTGCTCTTTTGCTCCCTGATGTAGTATTCAGATCCTTCTCAGATCTTTGTTTTGTCTTAAAACAACTCACAATATCCTAAATGAAAACTCTCAAACTGACTCAAACTGAGAGTTTTTAAATGGAAATGTCAATTTAAAAACAGAAGAGTTCAGAGCATTTCACTGAAAGGCTCTGATGAGACATTATGAGCTCACTGGCTGATTCTCACAGCGCTCTGGAGACATAAATAAATAAGTAAAAGAAAACAAAACATCTTCTTTTATTGAATGGCTAAATCTACAGCAATGTAGCTAATATATCATAAATAGATCAAAAGATATGGATGGAAAATCGGCCAATAATTATACTAGCTATAGCCAAACAACTTGGAAAACAGGCTGATATATATATATATATATATGAAAAAATTGCCTAAAGATTCTCTACATTTCTAAAAGTATGATAACTACGTGTTATTTTTTTTGACTTGAAAGAGTACTTGACCTCCAGAGGTCATATAGGTTATAGCCTAGGTGTTTAGTTAGTTGTTTTTAAGGAGTAAGTGAAAACTAGTGCTTTCTCCCTTTTTTGCGCTCTCTTTTTTTTCATTCCCAATAAACCGCAGTGAGAAAAGTGAGAGAGACCAAGGGGGAGAGGCCTTGTGTCAGAGCGCATAAATAACTGTCGACGTGATGTAAACACAGCGGTCATAACCCGAGCAAATTAAAACAACTGGTCTGGGCGGGATTAAAGCAGGTTTTCTACGTCTAAAAAAAAAAAACAAAACTCCAGCGTCCGCTGACCTCCAGCGACTCCCTTCTGATTGGCCGAATGCTAATTAGTCAATCCAATCACCGCATGCGCGCGTGAGTTGATAAGGCAAAATGCAATTAAGCTAACGAAAAACGACGATGGCTGCTCATATTTTAGCGGTGTAGCTTCATAAATAAGATAATAAACTGTTATTAAACAGTCCTGACAGTTAGGTTAAAATAATTTAAAAAAGTAAAAGTCAGTGACAACAATGATACTTCTCACACTGGCACCCGGTTTATTTACCTTTCTTGCATTTACCCCATCAGCAAAGTTAGCAACGAGATAAACATGATTTGGCCTGTTTGGCCTGTTTACGCCACAAGAAGAGTAACTCCTTTATAACGCCTACATAATCTACCAAGGCAAACGTTTGTTTATGTAACGACAGCTTTGTCCACTGTTATCTTTCAGACACAACAGAGGGAGACTCGGGCTATCTGTACCTACGCTTTGTTGGTGGGCAGGGTCTGCTATTCTGAAGGAATGGAGCGATAAGGCGGGTTGCCAGGTCAAACTATTGGCCCACACAAGAAAAAAATAATAAGGACTGATTACACAGAGTGTAAAAGTGGTACAAATATATTTCATATACTTCATGTAATCTGTACAACAATTTGAGCAGGTTTCATGTGCCTTATCCAGCCATCCATCAAATCATCCATCCATCATAAGACAATTGCAAAACACAGGCCTGCATCAGTAAAAACGCATCTGCGGATTATTACTGTTTGTTGATAAAAAAAAAAAAGAAAAAAGAAAGAAAGAAAGAAAGAAAGAAAAAGAAAAAAGAAAAAAGAAAACGAAAAAAGCAATTTAAAGTACAAAGTTTATCTTTGAACCAGCAAAGATAAAAGATCACAATGCATTTAAATAAACGATTTTTTTTTCTTTACGGGAACGAAGGAGAGTGGGATGCCCTTCCGTTATTCCCACTCAAAGTCTGCAGAGATGAGACTTGCATTTCAGTCACTATAGGATTTTTTTTCATTGTTCCTTTAAAAAGGCAAAGAGCTGCTGCCACTGAGCTGCATCAAGACGCCGTAGTTCCGCACAACCTCGTTGAGTTCAGCATCTCCTTCAAATCGTTCTCCGGTTTACCTGCAACCATGAAAGGCCACGTCTGCGGAGGAAAACGCAACCAGTTAGAGCGTGCACTGTCAAAGAGTTTAGACTAAATCAAACCTAAATTCAGAGCCAGTATGCGTGGAATCACCTTAAACCACTAGGTAAACACAATAAAAACGTCATTCATTTGGAGCAAACACTCTCACTTAGTGCTCTCGGGTGTCATTAAAACAAACATTTTAGTCACAAAGGCCACAATATAAAGCTATAACGTGGAACATTTAACGTTTTCTGGCTCCAATATTCATATTTAATTAAGTTCAGTTCTAGCGTTTGATAAATAATTTTGAATTGCAATCCGTTTTTTTTTTTTTCCAATTTGCTCCGAAAACTTATTTTAAAAAATTACATCATTGCAACATTAATTTTACCTGTCTCCCCAACGAATCACTGCCGGCACTGACGGCCTAACGATGAAATTATTTCCAATTGCACTAATTGGTCTGCAGCCTACAGTGATTGTAAACTGTCGGGTATTCATTACGCTTGCACGAGGTTGGCTGTTTGCTTGTTTGTGTTTTTTTTTACCTCCCTCGTGCACCTGCCTAGTTGAGCGATCGCCCTCCTTTGTCACTTTACTTGAGTAATTGAGGCCTATAATTTGGCCTTTGCAGGCCACGTTAAAATAACAAAACAACACTGGATTTTGATTAAAAGCGATTCAGGTATTTCACTACATTATTATATCAAAACTCCAAATTGGAAGTGTGGAAATTTTGGGAGCAAAAAAGTACAAGCCCCTTAAGCCCATTCTCACCAGGTTAACAGGGTGGATATATCCATTTTCGTATTTGTCGTTGGCCAGTATCTGTCGGAGGTGCGCTATGTAGCTAGACGCCAGGCGCAGTGTGTCCAGTTTGGAGAGCTTGGTATCCGGTGGTACCCAGGGTAAGGAGGTCTTAAGCCGGGAGAAGGCTTTGGACAGGACTCTCATCCTGGCTCTTTCCCGGGCGTTGGCCGCGTTCCTCTGCACCTGCTTGCCCTCCTGTTGGACCACACCCTTGGGCGCCGTTTTCCTGGACGCTGTCTTCCGTTTTTTGCCGGGCGTTTCTCTCCGTTCCTCGTTTGCGCATGAGCCCTCGCAGTTTGAGCTCTCCTCCGTGCTCTCGTTGGAATCTTTACCGGAGGAACCAAACTTCAGGATGCCGTCCAGGAGCTCGTCGTCGACATCGCTGAGAGACCCGGTGGACATATTAGTACCGTATTCCCACTGAAGCGGGCTCAAAACATGGGAGCAGAATTCTTCGGCTGGACACGATTGAACAGGATGCGCGCTGGATGTTCATGAACAACTAACTGTGCAGAAAGGAACAGACTTTTTTATCTTTGTGACCAGAGAGGGCGTTACCACATGCTGGGAGGAGACAGCGGTACTGATCTTTCTTGCTGGCTCCCCAAAGGTTTCAAGGATCCCAAGGGACCCTGGATGAGCCCAAGATGTAGGACATGTGTTTTATTTTAATCACTGTTCAACCCGGAACATGTGATTTCCTCATAAAAAAGAGAGACAGGTGCATTTATACATAGAATTTCTTTCTTTCTTTCTTGAACCTTTTGTCATAATTACTGAAAAATTACATTGGCAACTACATGCATGGCCCACCAATCAGTTCTGTACATCTACTGTATTTTAAGTTAACCTTTGTCTTGCTTGAGACCTCCAAATTATGTAGTTACAGTGATCACAGCACACAACTGCACTCCTTAAACTATGCAGCCTGAAGTAGGGTTCACAATAAAGTGATTAATAAAATTTTTTTTTTAATGCATTAGTTGCAACATGAATAAAGACGTGCATTCTTAGAAACTGGAAATGAACTAACCATTAGCAAAATACAAATGTAACCTGTGTAGTGATATGTTGTCTCTTAATTACAAGAAAAGGTAGTCTTTTTATTTTTTATTTCATTGAATAATGAATTAGGAAATTAGATTTGTGCAAAATAATTGCAATCCAGCTCCAAAAGGATCACAGTTTAGCCAGTTCCGCTCACAGTGTCCACATAACTTTCAGCACATCTTGCCAGTTAACAGAATAAAGTGCAAGGACAGTGGGTGTGGGGTTTTTGGAGTGGTATCACGTCTCAAATGGCAAACTGGCGCCTCAGTCCCCTCTGATGTAATAGATACCTGGCACCCACAATCCCCTGTTTGGCCTTCCACATCATTCCACACTGATGCTCCATGCACTGGCCCACTCAGGCCGAAGTCCAAACAACAGAGGTCTCTGGAGCTCCGGTGGGGTACATTACTGATAATCCCATGCTTCCTGTTCACTTGCTTTTTTTTTTGTTTAAACTGTTCATCATTACACTGAAATATGACGAGTTTGCATGAAGCTTCAGGTGTTTCCTCCTGGGATGCGGGATTGTATTTGTGGGTTCGTGTTTGTGCGAGCAGATCCGTTGGCTACACAGCTGAAGTGTGCGAGGAAAAGAGGTGTGTCTCCTGAGAGCTGACCTTTAGCCCCATAGCTTCCGGTGTCACAGTGCATCCAAACGGGTATTATCTAATTTATCAATAAGAAACACACAGTGAAATCCTTCCATTTTGGCTGGGCTGCACTTCTTCAAGTGGAAAAGCCTTAAAAAGGATAGAGGAAGAACAAAGCTCTTTGGGAAGAAATACAGGACAGATGTAAGGAAATGAGTAAGAAAGTAGAGCAAAGAGAAAAAAAAAGATAAGTGGGGGGAAAGGAGGGAGAGGGAAGAGAGGAAGAAGGGGGTTTAATCTTCTGGGTGGGCTGGAAATCAAAGCACTTAGTTGAAAAGTAATAATAGAGTCTGTTAGATTGATGATCACCTCTGAGATACATGGATCCACCAGAGAGAAACAGAGAGTGCAAGAGAGAAGGAAAGGGAGTCGAACAAAAATAGCTCACGAAAACCTTTTTTTCCTCTGTCCCGTGTGTCGATAAAACACAGGCCCTGATGTAACACTGTCATAAATATAATTTGTACTCTTACTTAAATTCACACGTGGCCTATAAGGCAGAGAAACCCTATGTGGTGAGTGGGCATTCTGTGGGCGTTTCAGTGAGCATTTTGCCCTCTCAGAGCCTCACTCATACTCACAGTGACACGAGGCAACAGGTGGAGAGGGGGCAGTGAGAAAGATGGAAAGAGAAAAAAAAAAGTGGGGACCCTGGCACTTATGGAGGGACATGCTGCTAATTAGCCGGTTTGGGGCCAAAGGTTAGGCTGGTTGTGTGATGTCACCAGGCAGGGACGGGTTCCAGATGTTGTTCACAGGGCCACCGAGGGGGACATCTGATCCTGTGCGTCATTATCATCTCTCTCTCTCTCTCCTCATGCACAGGAACACCTCTGTTACATGTTTAAGACAACAGTGTGTTAAAAAAAAAACAGCAAATGCTAAATATGTCATTTGAAAATCATAAAAAAGAAACCAAGACAATGAGTGTTTTGACTTGTAACATGAATTGGATCAGATAGATAGATACTGTTGTCCAAATGGATACTAATGAGGTGAAATTTTAAAATGTTCCATGTGTTCATTGCATTATATGCAATTTGTCCGATACTTTTAATTAACAGAATATGTAGGTGGAAATGAAAATCCATGATATCCCTGTCTTTGTTTTTACAGGGCAAAGTATAACTGCACTATATACTGAGCACTTGGTGACAGTGGGAAGGAAAAACTCCTTTTTAACAGGAAGGTGCAGCCATCTGCTATCACCAGATGGGGGTAAGGGGAGAAACACAGGACAAGACACACTGTGGAAGAGAGCCAGAGATTAATAATAGCTAATGACTGAATTCAAAGTGGTTTATAAACACATGGAGGTGAGTGAAGAAGAAGCTGTTTCAGAGTCTCAGGGCCTTCCACACCACTGTGCTACCCCATCCATACAAATGTAGAGGTGTAACGGAACCCTCATTGAGAGACTACACAAGCCATCATGTTCATATACTATGATGTCTACACTTTTTGTCATAGAAGTTGCCTCTGGAAAGCACAAGTTTTATTCACAGTGTGCATGTAAAGATATGTTCGTGCACCATGACGTTGTGCTTCCCCCCCTTGAGGCAGCAGTTTATCTAACACTGCTGCAAGTGTTAATCAAACATGATGAAATAGGTTTTATTTCAGTGTCATTTTGTCTGGCACAAAGTCAAGACAGATGGTTTAGAGGAAAATGCACTGCAAGCTATAGCATTAACCTGACGTTATCAGTATTTCACGGCATCAGACAAATTTATCGTTTACTGAAAAAGAGTCTGATGTCATTATTGCTTGATTAGCGTCTATGCAGTGACATGAAGTTATCAGTGAGCAATGACAATAGAGATTATTTTTTTCACCTCATTTCAGTTTTTTTTACAGAGCAAAGATGAATAAGCGTGGCTTTAGTTTCACTAAAACATGTTTCTCTTTTGATTTCTTTACTCAGGTTTCAAACCTTGTGTGTGTTTCCTTAAAAAGGCGAAAAACCTTAAGGCACGGTATGTTGCTGCAAAACAATTGACAAATGAAATCGAAAGGAATCGTGGAATAAAGCAAAAACACTGTTGTGTTTACAGTCCATGCTCATGTTTTTGTGACTCAAAGGGGCTGAATGAAAAAAAAAATGAAACTAGCTGGTTGATATAGCCGTAAGGGGAGAAACTATAACTCTGGAGTGAGGCTTAGGGCGAGAAAAACATCATCCATCTAAGTCTTAGCACACCAGTTGCCTGTCCCTTATCACAGCTATACTCCCACAAAACACACACACACACACACACCACACACATGCATATGCACTTCAGTTCAAGCGTTCCTAAAAAAGAAAATCAAAGAAAAATAATTAAATGAGAGGTTGCAGAGAGTGCAAAGATACAGCGGGGAGAGGAGAAAGCAGGGCAAAAGGATGTTGTGGACAAACTGAGCAATAAGAGAGAATTATGAACATGCTTATGAGAGTGGAAATATCATATTATATTTCAACAAGACAAGACTGCAATCCTTTGATATTCAGTGACAGGAACATCCGGGGGAAGGAAAACAGTGTTTTTCTAGAATAAGACTGATATTCTGTCACAGTGTAGGTTAATGACCTGGAAGTCTTGTCCTTATAGTGTGAGGGAGCTGGACTGTAATGGTCTCTGGTATGCAAGTACACTTATCTGTACAAGTGTGTGCATCTGTGGTAAATGGTTTCACAAACAAATGGAAATGGATATGAAGAAAATGAGCGATAACTTGGAGAATTGTGGAATCAGTGAAGTTAAAAATAAATCATTGTCCACTTTATCCGTGTTAAAGTGCAGTGAAAAAGTATTTGTCCCCATCCAGATTTCTGTGGGTTGTTTTTTTTGTTTTTTTGTTTTTTTTGCATATTTGTCACACTTAAATGTTTCAGATCATCAAACAAATTTTAATATTGGATATAGGAAATTGAATAAATACAGAGTGCTTTTTTTTTTTTTCAAATTAAGATTTCATTCACTTAGAAAAAAAAAACCTGTACAAACCTACCTGGCCCTATTTGAAATAGTGATTTTCCCCTAAACCTAATAACTGGTGTGCCGCCCTTTGGCAGCAAGAACTGCAAACAAACTGGGATAACTGGCAATGAGTCTTTAGCATCACTGTGCAAGAATTTTGACACACTCTTCTTTGAGAGTTGTTTTAATTCAGAGGGTTTTTGAGCATGACTTGCTGTAAAGTCATAACAAAGCATCTCAATAAGATTTAAGTCCGGCAGGCCATTCCAAATTTTGTCTTATTTTAACTATTCAGACATGATTTGCTGGCATTTTAAACCATCGTTGTGCTGCATAACCCAAGTGTGCTCGCGCTTTATGGCATAGACTGATGGTCAGAAAACATTTTCTTACAGAGTAGAATTCATGGTTCCATCAATTACAGCAAGTCATCCAGGTCCTGCAGCTGCAAAGCAGCCCCAGATCATCACACTACCACCACCATGGTAGTGTGGTAGTACTGTTGGTATGATGTTCCTGTTATGAAATCCTGTGTTACTTTTATGGAGATGTGACTGGACTCAAACCTTCCAAAAAGTTCAACATTTTTCTTGTCAATCCACAGAATATTTTTCCAAATAGTCTTGGAGATCATCAAGATGTTTTTCTTGTTTTCTGTTTTTTTTGTTTTTTGGAGTTTTTTGGGGGCAAATGTGAGTCTTTGAGTTCTTTTTGGTCAGCAGTGGTCTTCACCTTGAAATTCTCCCATGGATGCCATTTTTGCCCAGTCTCTTTCTTATTGTTGAGTTATGAACTCTGACCTTAACTGAGTCGGGTGAGTTCTGCA